TATTTTAACATTTGTTGTAATTATACTTTGTTTAAAAAAACAATTGCTCTCTCTTTTGAAGCAAAAAGAACCAAAAAATCAATCAGTCAAAAATGACATTGAACTTAACCAGATTTTTCCTTTGAACCAGGAGGTTCAATCTTCTTGAAGAGGGAGGAATTACGGCACTGCTATGATGATGATCTAATATGTAGAGTTGCTTAGGTTTGCACTTTTCAATTCCTTTGTTCTAGCGTAGGTTATAAGTAAGAGATGCATGTAAACCAAGGTGACCAGTACTCATTCGTCTTCTGTTAAATAAAGTCGCTTTTTTAAAAAGTCGTTCGTTGTTTGCACATTCTTAATTTACGCGAGAAGAGATGCGGGACGTGTGGTATTGACTTTGAGCATCGATCGACGCAGTTTCTGGACAGGCCACAGGCGCACCGCTAAATATCTATTTTCAATTTAGGCGTTCATCTGACATAGTGCTTCGCTGCATCACCAACTCCGAACAAAATCAGTCAAGCTTTACACACTTTCCAAATTACTACTGAGCAACAAACAGAACATAAATCACTTTTTACGTGTAATCTGTATAGCTAATGTATGTATATACTAAGTGACATATAAATCCGAACACCCAGTTTAAATGGTTTTATTTTGATAAAAGTTGGTGAATGTATTTATCTTACTGTAAATAACAAATGAAAGAATTTTCAGCCTTATCAGTTGGACATTCCGGTTTTTATACTGCTTTTTTAATTCACTAACGCTCTAAAAATGAATATTTCAGCCGCAGTAAAGAATTAACGTTGGCGGATTTTGCTTCTTGACATCCTTTACGATCGGTTACGATGCCTAGAGTACGGAGACCTGTACGATTTCGTCAACTTAGTGAGTTTGATAGGGGCCGTATAGGGACTTCGGGAAGCTGGACTTTCTTTTCGGGCAATTGCTGTTAGAGTGCAAAGAAGTGTAGACACTGTGGTTAGGTGTTATCAGGCATGGCTTCGAGAAGGCCGTACGCAAAGAGCAAGGGGCACTGGACGCCGCCGTAGCACAACAGACCGTAAAGATCGCCGCCTAAGATTATTGGCCTTAAGGGACCGTTTCTTCACTACCAGGTCCATTGCAAATGAATGATTTGCAGAACACGGAAGACCTATTGGCATGCGAAGTGTTTACCGACGAATGAGAAGTTTTGGCTTGTTTTCATACCGGCCACACTGGGTCCTCCCTTTAACTCGAGAACACCGACGTAATCGCCTTGAGTGGTACAGACAACGGTCACTCTGGGATCAGGAATACAGTATTGTCTTTAGTGACGAGTCTCGATTTTGTTTAGGCATGCACGATGGTCGTGCCAGGGTTACAAGGCGACGTGGTGAAAGGAGGAATCCACAGTTTTTTGTTGAAAGACATGTTCATCACACTATTGGAGTTATGGTTTGGGGTGCTATAGCTTATGGTTCCAGGTCACCTTTAATCTTCATTAGATGTAATATGAATGCCCAGCGTTATATCCACGAAGTTCTCCCCATCTTTTACTCTATCTTGACACCCTGGCAGATCCAACTTTCCAACAAGATAATGCCCGACCACATGTTGCAAGAGTCACAATAGACTTCTTTCAACATCATGATGTCACATTGTTACCATTGCCACCAAGATCTCCCGACTTATCCCCAATTGAGCACGTGTGGGATATGATGGGTAGGAGATTGCTCAATTTGCAACGTCCTCCTCAGACTCTAGAAGCACTTCGAGAGGAGTTGGTGGTTGCCTGGAATGAGATACCACAGGAGGACATTGACCTCCTGATCAGAAGCATGCCTAGGCGTGTTGGAGAATGCGTAGCACATCAGGGTGCATCCACACATTATTAAAGGTCAAAGGGCTTTAAAGCAGATTTTTCCAGAATCTCGACACCCTCGGGAAAGGGAGACGTTGTGGGATGAAGATGAGAACCCGTCAGTTACGATGGATATCTTGCTGCCGGAGATAAAGTCAGCCACCCATCTACAAAGCTCTTCTGGGAGGCCATAGGATGGAAGTTTGCTTAAAGATGTTACAGTTATTTTTCAGACTTTTGTTGTCGAATTTAGATTTACGGCATAGTTGTTGTTTTCTCAGTTGTCGAATCGGTATTGATTGTATGTAGAAATGTTGGAAATCCTTGGAAAAAAACATTTCTGTTAGATCGTAATTACTTTGATAATGTATGATTGTACTAAATAAGTTCAGTAATACAGGGCTGTACATATTCACGTATAGTGCAGCAGCTCTGTGATTTAAACGAATTCAATATAGCAACATAAATAGACACATACGCGAGAAGAGATGCGGGACGTGTGGTATTGACTTTGAGCATTGATCGACGCAGTTTCTGGACAGGCCACAGGCGCACCGCTAAATATCTATTTTCAATTTAGGCGTTCATCTGACATAGTACTTCGCTGCATCACCAACTCCGAACAAAATCAGTCAAGCTTTACACACTTTCCAAATTACTACTGAGCAACAAACAGAACATAAATCACTTTTTACGTGTAATCTGTATAGCTAATATATACTAAGTGACATATAAATCCGAACACCCAGTTTAAATGGTTTTATTTTGATAAAAGTTGGTGAATGTATTTATCTTACTGTAAATAACAAGTGAAAGAATTTTCAGCCTTATCAGTTCGACATTCCGGTTTTTATACTGCTTTTTTAATTCACTAACGCTCTAAAAATGAATATTTCAGCCGCAGTAAAGAATTAACGTTGGCGGATTTTGCTTCTTGACATCCTTTACGATCGGTTACGATGCCTAGAGTACGGAGACCTGTACGATTTCGCCAACTTAGTGGGTTTGATAGGGGCCGTATAGGGACTTCGGGAAGCTGGACTTTCTTTTCGGGCAATTGCTGTTAGAGTGCAAAGAAGTGTAGACACTGTGGTTAGGTGTTATCAGGCATGGCTTCGAGAAGGCCGTACGCAAAGAGCAAGGGGCACTGGACGCCGCCGTAGCACAACAGACCGTGAAGATCGCCGCCTAAGATTATTGGCCTTAAGGGACCGTTTCTTCAGTACCAGGTCCATTGCAAATGAATGGTTTGCAGAACACGGAAGACCTATTGGCATGCGAAGTGTTTACCGACGAATGAGAAGTTTTGGCTTGTTTTCATACCGGCCACACTGGGTCCTCCCTTTAACTCGAGAACACCGACGTAATCACCTTGAGTGGTACAGACAACGGTCACTCTGGGATCAGGAATACAGTATTGTCTTTAGTGACGAGTCTCGATTTTGTTTAGGCATGCCCGATGGTCGTGCCAGGGTTATAAGGCGACGTGGTGAAAGGAGGAATCCACAGTTTTTTGTTGAAAGACATGTTCATCACACTATTGGAGTTATGGTTTGGGGTGCTATAGCTTATGGTTCCAGGTCACCTTTAATCTTCATTAGATGTAATATGAATGCCCAGCGTTATATCCACGAAGTTCTCCCCATCTTTTACTCTATCTTGACACTCTGGCAGATCCAACTTTCCAACAAGATAATGCCCGACCACATGTTGCAAGAGTCACAATAGACTTCTTTCAACATCATGATGTCACATTGTTACCATTGCCACCAAGATCTCTCGACTTATCCCCAGTTGAGCACGTGTGGGATATGATGGGTAGGAGATTGCTCAATTTGCAACGTCCTCCTCAGACTCTAGAAGCACTTCGAGAGGAGTTGGTGGTTGCCTGGAATGAGATACCACAGGAGGACATTGACCTCCTGATCAGAAGCATGCCTAGGCGTGTTGGAGAATGCGTAGCACATCAGGGTGCATCCACACATTATTAAAGGTCAAAGGGCTTTAAAGCAGTGCAATCATTTTGAAATTTTTATATATATATATGGCGAGTTTCTGCAACTTAAGGTCGCTTCTCGCAACCCATACGCCATCGTATCCTATCGTTCCAGTCTCCTTCATGTAGTCCTCTACTTTCCATTGCGGTATGGATGTTTGAAATCCATTTCCTTCGTGGTCTTCCTCGTTTATTTCTTTATGCTGGTGTCCATTTCCAAACCCTTAATGGTATCCTTTCTTCGTTCATTCGTTGCAGGTGTCCATACCATTTTAACTGCCTCTCTGTTATATCGTCCATTATTGTATTTTCGACTTCCATTCTTTCTCTGATGGTCTCATTTCTAACATGGTCAAGTAAAGTTAAACCGGAACATCTTCTCCAGTACATCTTTTCGGTTGAGAGAAGCTTTTGTGACATATTTTTATCTACAACCCACGCTTCTGACCCATATGTCAGTACTGGCTGAATCATAGCCTGATATATAATTTTTATCATTTACTTATTATGCTTCATTAAGTACTTATACAAAATTTTATTAAAATAAAACCATTTAAACTGGGTGTTCGGATTTATATGTCACTTAGTATATTACCCAGACTTAGATTTGTTACAAGTCACAATACTCGCATTTACGTATAAATCGTAAGAGTTGCGCTGTAAACGTAAGTGATGTCAAATAGGGACAGCCTTTGAAACACCAAAGGATACCAAACAATCGTAATAGTCAGTTCCTATAGCTATAACTTATTGGTAGTATGCCTCTGTCGCCATGATGTGACAGAAAATAACACAATGGTATTAGATCACAAAAGCAAGTGTCAAAAGCCCCCGCGCTCCATCTCTAAATCCGCCACTGCACTGTAGTGAATCGACACATGAGACTCCTAGGTCTAGCAGAAGAGGCATCATGCGGTTTATGCAGAGAGAACGAGGAAACCACAGTGCATCCCTTACGCCACTGCGAAGGCCTGGTAAGACTACGGTTCCAGATATTAGGAATGACAAATCACAAGGCTATGGAGTCTAATCAAAGCACCAAAGCTAGACACAGTGCCTTAGACAGTGTATATGTGGGATTACAACAGATTGATATGGGTCGCAGGCTGGCTAGCAAGGCAGCCCCTTTTCTATAATATAATCTAAGTAGTACGCTTGTAATTTTATACCCTCAATAATTAAGTATACATACCAATGAGTAAATGTACGAGCAGAAACGAGCTGAAATAATTCGTCTGTAAAACGTAGTTCATTCCATCTTCCGTTAGGACATCTTCGTCAGCTCCAAATCCTGCATTGAGTATGAGGATATCGATAACCTCTTCCCTCTCCTTTATCGTCTCAGCAAACTTACGGACGGATTTGAAGGATTCCAGGTCTACGTATTCAAGAAAAATATTTGGGTTGTGTGTTTTCCTCACGAGTTCTTCTCTTAGCGCGTCGTTTGGTCTTCTAGTTGCTATTATAATTTTGCATCCTCTCGAAGCTAGGGCTAGCGCGATCTCATACCCAAGTCCTGAAAAGATATTGTGTATTGTGAAGCAGATATTTTTTTGAGCTGAAGCGGCAAAGGCAGAGCCTGAATAACGGAATACCCTGGCATCTGTAAAGAAAAAGATACCTTGAATTGACCGCGGTAATAGACCAAGCTAGCTAATCAGTGAAGTCTGCTGTAATCTGTAGCACTGACAGATTTTACAGATAAATGTTACTCTTGAAGATAAATTTTCATGCATCTCATCTGGGGATAACAAAGTTTACAGGGTAGCTTTTTTGAGATTATACCAGTTTTTTTATATCCTATCTTAGTCATGAAACTACAGGCAACCCAGTAAATCTTCTGGGCTATATAAATACGAGCCCCTTACCACTTCAGTTGGCCCACTCCAAGATTTGTACCAAAAGATGCCTTTATAAACTAAACATGACGAAACTATTTACTTCTAAAACAATTTATTCTCTCAAAAACATTTTAGATACACTCTAATCTTAAAAAATACATATTTGAAATCACTTAGACCTATAACTATTAGAACATCTGAACAAATAAACAATGTGCGAATAAATGCGCGAAGTTAACAAAGCAACAATTGAAAGATTACCATTGGGTAACATCACCTTTATTTTTTATTACGGCTCAAATTCTTTGCTGCATGGTGTCAACCAAGTTGTGGCAAAGATTTGGTGTAAAACAATCCCATATTTCTTGAAGTTTTTGTCTCAGTTCGGTGATTGTACGAGCAGGATGTTGTCGTAGAACCTTTTTCATCTCGTGCCACAAAGTTTCAATAGGTGGCAGATTTGGACTGCTAGAAACCCATTTCAAAAGTTGTACATTATTTTCTTTCATCCATTTTATAGCCTTTTTTGAGGTATGGTACGCTGCACCATCTTGCTGAAACACAAAATCTTGGCCGGATGTCAAACATGCTTCCATCACTGGTAAAAGCGATTCTTCTAAAATTGCCAAATATTTGCTTGTATCCACATTTCCATCAATAAAATGAAGTTTTCCTACTCCTTTTGATGACACACTGTCCCAGACCATAATGGATGCAGGAAATTTCACTTTTCTCGTCAGACAGTCAACATGAAATGCTTCATTTTTTGCGAATAACTCTACTGCAACTGTCACCAACACAAACTTCGAATCGGGCCTCATCACTCCATTGTATTGCATACCATTGTTGCGGTGTCCATTGTCTATGTTCTTTAGCCCATCTAAGCCGATTTTTCTTTTGCATTGGAGTTAATAGTGGCTCTTCTTTGGCCTATAAACAAGGTGTGCAACTTTAGGGTTTTTACCTCACTTTCTTTTTAGAAGAAAACTTACCTGGCAAGTACTAAATCCCAGTTTGTGGGCCTCTCTATGAGTTGTGGAATTCTCATTCCAACAGCGTCACTTCACAGAGCACTTAATTGTAAATAATTGGCACGCCTGTTTTTCACGATTATTCTTCTAAATGCTCTTCGGTCGGCATTTGTGATATTTTTTTTCACAGATCGTAGCTTAATATCAACTGAACCAATTACGTTATATCTTCTAACAATATTTATCACACTGTACCGCGATAAGTCTAACAAAGTTGCAATTTCTGAGTTTGATTTCCCAAAATCAAAAAAATTAATTATATTTAATTCTCACTAATAACCTTTCCTCTACCCATTTTGAAAACTATTTTAAACGTATTCTGACAGCTGTGATTAATAAAAACAATTGTACTTTGCAAAAAATGTATTCCTAAATCAATAGATATCCGAGGGAAGATCCTTTCGCTCCGCCCCTGACCCATTTACACAAGCTTTTTGATGAATGTTGTCTACAGTAAAAGTATTTTATTATTTTAATCAAATACTAAGTCAACAAAATTTTAACTTTGTCGTGCCACACGGACTTTTTTGATATTTTTTACTTTAATTTTATTCTATTGAGTAATTTAAAATATTAAGAAAAAACACAGATCTCGTAAATCAAAAGTTATTTTTTTTAAATGACTTAATAATCTAAGATTTTCTTGAATATTTAGCTTCTGGTTGGTCCCTTTTAATTGTCCAGCAGTAATCTGCTAACATATTTGGGCTCCATTTGCCCTGGTACCGCTTTTCCATTTTATAAATGTCCTGATGGAACGTCTCACCGTGCTCGTCGCTGACAGCCCCTAAATTGTCAGGATAAAAATCCAGGTGCGAGTCTAAAAAATGGATCTTAAGTGACATGTTGCAACCCAATGCTTGATATGACAATAATAGCTCGCTAACCAACTCTCTGTAGCTGTCACTCTTGTGGTTACCCAAAAAAATTGAAGCAACATTTTTAAAAGCCTTCCATGCAGATGTATCTAAATCGCTTAATTTTCTTCAAATCTTGAATCTTTTATTAACTCCCTAATTTGAGGGCCAACAAGAATACCCTCTTTTATCTTTGCATCACTTATTTTAGGGAATTTTTCTTTTAGATACAAAAATCCACTCCCATTGCGATCCATTGCCTTCACAAAATTTTTTATTAATCCTAATTTGATATGCAATGGTGGTAGAAGCACATTATTTGGCTGTACAAGGGGTAAATACTTTACGTTTTTTTGCCCAGGAACTAACGATGCACGCGTAGGCCATGCTTTTTTTATATAGTGATTAGTTCTGTCTCGGCTATCCCATTCACATAAAAGCAGCAAAACTTTGTATAACCCAGCTGAAGTCCAAGTAATAGTGCAACAACTTTAAGATCACCGCAGATTTTGAAGGAATATGTACTGTAATTTATTTTTTCAAGTAAAAGTTTCATATTTTCATAGGTTTCTTTCATATTTGCAGCATGGGCCAGACGGAAGCTTATTTCCATTATGCAATAACACTGCTTTTAGACTTGCTTTCGAAGAATCAATGAATAAACGCCACTGAGAGAGATCAAAATCTATGTCCAACATTTTCATAATCTCATTTATGTTATTGCAAAACACCAAATCTCCATCCTGAGAAAAATACGTTCTGAAGTGTTGATCACGGTTTCGAAAATAGCTAACTTTTGTATTATAATGTAGCAAATTCCATTCTTTTAGACGTGATTCTAATAGTTCTGACTGCTTTCTTGACAAATTTAAATCCCGAACCAAATCATTTAGGTCTCCTTGAGTTATCAAATGTGGCTCGTTTACAATTCCTTTTAACTCAAAGTCATCGTCCTCGTCAACACATTCACCTGAAGTGGACGGTTGTGAATTGTTCTCAACAGACGTAGTTGCAACTGGTATTAGTTCTGGCAATTTTTTACAATGAGAGACTGGTCTTATAGCCGAAGATAAGTTAGGGTAAATGACTGTGGTTTTTTTCTTGTAATTTATACCTTTTATGTCTGTGAGACAAAAATAGCAATCTGAAACGTGATCTCGCTGTTCAGTCCATATCATGGGTACAGCAAACGGCATAGGTCGTGCACCTTTCCTCCAGTCAGTTAAATTTTTCGCACACGTTATGCAACAGACATGAGGGGCCCAGGATTTGTCTTGATGGGCGACAGAAAAACCAAAACATTGGTGATAACACTCCAACACAAGATTCGTAAAATTTCGTCGTTGTTTTTTGAATGTTAGTTCTCCGCAGACATAACAAAAAGTGTTAGGATCATTATTACACTTCCTCGACATATTCACAGGCTTAATAAATCACAAAAAAGTGTTCAAATTCAACAACAAATATTTTTATAAGGATTTACTTGTAAGCGTTTCTGTTAATTTACTGCCGTAGTACTAGTTATGAGTATTACCGTATCACAACAAATATGAGGCTAATAGACATATGACAGCTGTCATGTAATAATGAGGGTAGACTGATAAAACAAAATTAGCTGTCAAAGTTCGTGTGGCAAAACCAGTGTTGACCACAAAGTACTTTGTGTCAAACTGTTTTGACAAAGCCTGCTTTTCGGTTCCCGTGTGGCAAGAATTTCTATAATAAATAATGTATATCTATAATACAATAAACGGAAAAACATTTACGATCGCTTGATATACTTAAGTAGAAGAAATTAGGGAATTAGATGAAAACAGTAGTAACATTTCTTCAAAATGATGCTATTTTGGCATCAAAGAATTTGCCTACACACTTCATTTTGAGACCACATGAACATTTACTGAAAGCTTTAAGAAACGTTATTATTTCATTTGCATAAATCATCATCCTGTAGCCTAGCGTCCCGAGGCGTACGTACCCTTAATCACGCATTTTCTGGTCTGCGGTTCAAATCCCGTCCGCATCAGACAATTTTTTTCTTTTTTCTGTCTCTCTGTTGAATTATTTCATTTTGACCTATTTCAACATCAGCTTGTATGGATATTTATCAGTTAATATCATTTGGTGTCAAGATTTTTGAAGAAATTGGTATAATTTGTAAGGCAAATCCGCTGTTCAACAGTCCTACGCGGTATTGCTGCTTATCATGTTAGCGGAGACATATGTATATGCGTTCAACTGTAAAAACCATAATACTGCGGTATGACTTTGAGTAGTTTATATGAACTAATAATAAAAAATAAGCATATAATGTTCAAAATTGATGTATATTTATTTATGAAAAAACAACAAAATATATGCTCAAAACTTGTTACACACACTAGATCAACAGACTGGAAATACCATTAAAATTCGTATCTATAAAATGCTTTATTTTCTTCCAAAAAGGTCTTATATAGGGTGGTTAATATACAGGGTGGCGCATCGAAAACGAAACAAGCATTTATTGGCAGCTCAGTTTTTTTTTGGAAAAACGCTCAGCCCGTCGATCTTGTTTTCGAGGGGGACACAAGTTTGGCAAAAAATCACGTTAACATGTGCAGCCCTCTGGACGGGGATGACACCAACCCTAAAATCTTAAATGGAAAGGGGGGTTGAGTGATGCCTTATTTTAAAGGTCTTTCAATTCCCTTTATAATGATATAAAATTAATGTACTTAAGTGCAGTAGTTTTTAAAATTTATTGATTTAAAGCTTAAAGTAGACTTTAATGGGTACATCAGATTA